ACCTGTGACCAGCCTTACACCGCCCACATGACCATTTGAAAATTTTCTCTTAAAAGGGCGTTGCCTGGAGGACCAAGGGACAAGAAGAGGGGCTTAGAGTTGGGCGTGGTCTGGGCTGTGATTGACAGCTCACTAGTCACACAAAAAAAAAAACAGTTGTCATTGCTGCTTAAAGCAATAGTTTACAAACCAGAAAGTCTCATTCCACCCTTGTTTACACACTAAGATAATTGTAGAGCTACACACCTGAACCTAAGCCACAGAATTATCTCAGCAGCTATGGTTGTCAACTCATGTAATTTAATTTTTATCCACTAGATGGCGCCAGAATACTCCAACCTGCAGCTGGGGCGTGTGTGAGAGTTGGATGGGTTTATATCTCTGGCGCTGACAGAGGCATGTCACAAATACAAACTAACGTCACACAAAATTACAGAGTCAATGGAGAGGCCGGGACCAAATTCAAATGTAGTACCACCGAAAAGGTTGAGAGGGCGCCAGACAGACGTTTTTAGGCTCAAAAGTGAGATTGTATCTAATATGCACTAAAATGTCATAAAAATGATGACATATGAGGATATGTAGAGAGCACTTCAATAAACACATTTATACAGTTTATGAGTAAAAAATAAGTTGATTTGGTGTTTAGTCGTTATTTAAAATAGCTGGAGCCAATTGGTTGATAAGGTCTTCCCTGTGAATGAAGTTATCTAATTGGTCAATTGTTCTACAGCTCTTATTTGAATTGACAAAGACACTATCACAATATAAACATCAGGATCACAGAGAGCGTTAAACCACAGAAGTAAGACGGGTGACGTCAGTGATTTTCCACTTGTGTTTTGGTTATCTGAAGGTCAAATCTACCAAATCTATTGGTGCCGTTGCAGATGCTCAGAGGAGGACATTGATGCCTCAGCTGGTTAAAATCCCATGCACACTGCAAAACTTTGGTTGTGTCTCTATGTACCAACAACAAAATCCCAGACCTACACATTTTTTGTCATTTTCTTCAGGAGTTTGCTTTTCCCTGTAATTATAGAAGCCAGAGCGAGTTGGAGCACTTCCCTATAGGGTTTCGTTTAGTTAGCAGGTTAGCATTGTCCATCTCTATACAGTCTATGTGACTTCCTCATGTCTGTTACAGCAGTCTGGGTGAGTCTGCTGGTGTTTAATGGGGGCTTTAGCTCTAGCTTTCATCCTGGAGCCTCCTGCTGGAGCCTCCTGCTGGGGACGGATCCTGATGCGTGTCTCTCAGCCACAGCAGCAGTCAAACTCTTGTTTTCTTGTTCAAAGCAGACATGACAGAGGGCCACGTCTGTGCGGACTCAGTCTTTGACATTCTACCTTTTCATCGTTAACAGGTCGTTAAAAAAACAGTAAATCACTTTTATATCATGTCAAATGGAAGATGTGATTACCCAAAAATTATTAGTCGTCAAAATATACTCAAACAAGTCCATTCAAAGGTCTAATACTTGTGGCCATACATGCATGTGAAAGCCAAATCCGAAGCAGGGCAGGGCCTGGTTAGTACTGTGATGGGAGACCTCTTGGAACACCAGGTGCCACAGTGGCGCGGCTGTAAAGTGCCACAGTGTAGTTGTGTTCTTAGGCAAGACACTTCACCCACATTAGAATGAGTCTGGTGTGTGTGTGAAGGTGGTGGTGGGAGGGACTGATGACTCAGACTGGTGTCATTGCTTCTGTCAGTGCCCCAGGGCAGCTGTGGCTACAGTAGTTTAGCACCTCTGTGTATGGAGTAAATGGATAATGACATGTGAGTGTCCAAAAGCGCTGTTTAAAACAGTGTTATTGTTATTATAGTCTGTACAGAACAAAATAATTTTATTAAGTCATTTAGTGGTAGTAATGGTGGTAGTACTTAGAAATTCGCAATGTTATTGTTTACAATGTGCACACTAAATAAAACAAAGTATATTTTAATGCAAATCTAACATCATTACAATATTTATCAGCAAAATCATGCAGCAGTGAAAAGAAATGAGTGATTCTCACAGTCTTCCTCCTGTGTGTTTTGAAAATGCTCACTACGTGAAATGTTGTGTGTTGTGGCTTTTCAAACAAACAAAGTCTAACCCTTTCAACTATTATCTAATCAACCCGGCAACGGATGAAGCGTAAGAAATGGATGGATGGATGGATCATTACACAAGTTTACAGCCAAAAAATGGTCAGGGGTTTCTCAACTGATTTAAACTAATTTTTGTGTTCTGAGTCCGAATATCACATGCATTTTGCTCTATCAGGTCAACTTTTTGAGATACAGCCATAGTGTTACGGATTATGAACGTCTACGTTATTATGAATTCTGCTTATCAAATTTGATGGAGTAAATAAAAACTGAATGACTTTGGATACGTTGACTTTTATTTAAAAAAATATTTCTAAATATTTCTATTTTCAGAAAATATTTTTTTGTTACCCGGTGTTATATTTAAACTAGGGCTGCACGATATATCAATCTATCGCAATATTGGTGAGTGCGATATCCATATCAAAAATATGCGCCATAAAAGATTTTTTCCTTATTAAAGACAACAAAACAGACAGACACATTAACATTCAACAAATACAGCAAACAAACAAAAAAGTATATAAATATATGCATTTGAATGTCAAAAATATTGCAATAATAGCATTATCACAATTTTAAACACTCATATCAAATATCGCTCTAATTACCAATATTGTGCAGCCCTAATTTAAACATCCCACGAATACTAGGATGACCCAGGTAGTTTAAATATTCCTACTTTGGTTTGGCCCTGTCGATTACGGCTGGTAACAATAAATGAAAAGGCCTAATTTGGTTATTTAAGCATTTTGCCTTCAGGCTACTTGCTGAACTCTGAACAAATTTAACGTTTAAATGACCGATGAGACACGGCTTTCTGCTTCTACTTTGACTTTTGAAACACTAACGTTGACTTGACACTGAGTCATCTCTGTGTGGTTAAAAGTGGCTGCAGAGGTGAGTGAGACGTGAGAACTAGAGCGCTACCTTTTAACCCAAAGGAAATGTCTCTATCATAGTATGCTGAAGTTCTTCTTAGTAGCATTTCACCTAGAAAGCATATGAAAGGTAGTGAGTTATTGTGACAAAAGTAATGGCAATGTTTGATATTAATAATTAAAGATTATATTTTGACAAAAAAGCAGAAAGGCCCCCAAAAAAAACATTTTTGTTACTATCCAAATGTGCATTTTCTAGTGTTGTCGGTTAAACAAAAACTGACTTCAATGAAAACATAAACTAAAAAGCTGACCCTAACCCACATGGGAAGTAGATGCAGTAGTAGTATTTAAATAAGGTCGTGGAGGATAATGTAGACTAATAATTGCTTAATAAATACCAATCCAGAGCCAATTAACTAGAGCACTTAATAAGCTGGTTATTAGTGAGGGCTAAACTAAAGTGTTACCCAAAAGTGTGGCCTTCATTAGACAATTCAAGTCATTTCTACGATGCGAAGATTGAGTAGCCTGTATTAGACAATGAAATATTTTTGAAGGGTAATGAATTAACAATCCCGTTTCAAACCAAATCAAGCGGCATTTAGACCAGGGGGAAATGTGTGTGTAAATGTGATTAATGATGAGTAAACTATTATGATGCAACAATTATTTGCAACAAAATATTTTAATTGTTTGACAGCACTAGTCTTTTTGTATCTGCAGTGTCTTGTTACGACCAGGGTCTTCCAAAAACAACATAAAATCCAGTAAAAAAAAAAAAAATTGTTGGTGGTTTTAACTAAACAATATTGTGTAAATCCTACCATATTTAAAACAACATTGCAGAGAGAGGCCGGTGATCTCGGAGGAAACAGTGACGTCAGCTATGGTGATGGTGTAGATCTGAATACTGTGGGTGGGAGGTGATGCTATAAAAGCTGTAGAAGAAATTTAAAGCAAGAGAGTTCAGAACTGCCAGTAACAGGTAAGAATTGATTGAATATTATTTTAACTTTATATTCAGACTAAAATATTAATTTTTCTTCCAACCCAAATAATTGTTGATACCATTCTACAGGAATCTTGCATTAAACAATTGTGTTTTCTTCACTCCATCTGATATCAACGCAAAATCAGGTAACTTCATAAGCAAAAAAGACACTATATTAAAACAATGTTTTTGATCGTTACAAAAGTATTGTATACAATAAAGTACTTTCAGGCAGAATCCATTTATTCGCATTTGAATTTTCTACTTTTAGTTTTTTGACTCAAGATCAAACCTGCACCAAAACCAGACCCATAGAGCACAAATAACTGGGGATTTACACTGGAGGCGTTCACAGCGCATAACATTACAGTGACATTAAGCGGCTGTGTACACACCGGCCGTGTGCTGATGCTCTGCCTGTGTAGCCTGTGGAAAAGAGTAGAACAACACAAATAACATGTATGTGTTGGTCCTCATGGTCTCTGTGGGCTGGTCTGGTCAGACACGAGACTTAACGATGTCCAGAATTACTGTGTACCCCGGAGGTCATCTAGACCCTAGAATCAAAATCAAAAATCATGTTTTATGTGTTTTGATTAGAAACGCGTTACAATAGAAATACGTTCCAATTTATTGGCAGCCTCGCGTCATACATCGGTCCTACGCACGTATAACACTAGTGTAAATATCACCACAGGTAAAAAATTGCAGTAAAAAAAACGCTTCCCTGCTGTAACGCCTCCTGTGTAAAGTAGAACACAGCCCAGACAAAGAGCAGGCCTGGACCAAGACCCAGACCAAAACAATCTTAACGACTCAGACCTACATCAGGAATTGGACAGGGACTAGCACCCAGGACTAGGACCCAGACAAGGACTAAGATTTATGTATTGTTACAGAATTCATTCCAGACTCAAAGATGATGAGACAGGTTGCCTTTCTGCTGATGATCCTGGCATCTGCCAGTGGTTTCTTGAATAAACCTGGAGAGTAATTTACACAATTTGAAGACTTCTGCACAAAGCACATCATGGTTGACCGAATGCCTGTGGGTAAGTGCTTCGACGTGCTCAAAGAGAAAAGGATAAACCAGGAAGGGTGGCAGTGCAAGAAAACCATCCATGCACCTCTCGAGGATGTCGTCAAAGTGTGTGAAGTTGGAGAGATGCAGAAGGACGAAATGAAAAAAAGCAGAGAAAAGTTCAACATGACAGTGTGTAGCGCGACCAAGCAGGGAAACTTTCCCAATTGTACATATGAGGGCAAGATCATAGAGGCTAAGATCCTCATCAAATGTTTACAAGGGATGCTCCCGGTGCATTTCCATGACTCACCCAACAATGGTCATTCAGAAGTATTGTTCTGGTCCGAAAAGTGATTTGTAATGTTGGGTTTGCAAATTTGACCATTTGTGTTATGCATACAGTATGTGTCATGCTGATTTATTTGTATGCCAAAATAAAAATAAAAAGAATGTTTCAAATATTATATTTTTTTTATTGTTCTTGAAAACATTATTTCTTGAGGTCTACACCGACTGGCCTCCTACATGCTGTCATGATGCAGTCAATAAGGTTACAAGTTATATAGACCTTTTTCAAGACAATTTTAAAACTCTCGGACAGATTAGGAAAGATCTCAATCTTTAGTCCTCTCTTCCAATATCCTTGGCCGGGCGTATTTATTCAGTGACGATGGTTATCTTGCCAAGGATTTTTAGTTCTTATTATTATTATAATATATTTCAGGCACTAAGATGTCAACACTTGTCCAAACTTGCAAGAATAATAGAAGAGCTTGACCCTGTGACCACTAAACTACACTGCTGACAACATAATTCTATTTAGTGCGACATGTTTCTAATGGTTATTCCGTAAAATTCTGATAACTAATGGATGAGAGGAGTGTTCTATTAAAGGAGACACAAGCAGATGCTATGAACACTTTGTACAATGATAGTACACAGTGGGGAGATACTGTCCACACTTTGACGCTCTACACTAGACTTATTTCAACAAAGTGTCCAGTCTGATATTCCTTGCATTATTGATTCTTTCTCTCTCCTCTCATGACATTTGGTACAATTTATCTCGACTTGTTTCCTTCGCAAATCCTTCCATTCGGTCCCAGTTCATTTAAATTATCTTTTTCAGACATAAACATCTTATCTGTTAATTATTTTTAAATCAAAACTAAATTGACTGTTAACTTTGAAGGAACGTCTTAACTGATTTCTAAACTATTTCAAGTACAAGTCATGTTTGTTATGGTTTATCATCACATTTAACATGAGACTTTTTAATCTAATACATGTGTTTGTGAGCGGCTAAATAGTATGTGCCACTTCACTGTTAAGAACATCCTGTTTCAGGTTAAAAAGGATGTTTTGAGTCCAACCCTTCAAAGGTACGCACTAGTAAATACGTAGGTCACATGTCTACACAGAAAGAACATGCAAACTCCACACAGAAAAGCCTGCCTGAAAGGGGAATTGAACCCAGGACCTTATTGTTGTGAAGCACAAGTGCTAACAACTGTGTTTTTTATTTAGGTAAAATCTTGTAGACAATCCTCTGATTCTTGTATTTAAATTAATATTATATTGATGTAACTTACTCATCTCACCAGTACAGGGTGCTGTAAGCTCTAGCAGTGAACACAAGACCATCCTCAGAAGAAAGGGGTGAATAGTACTGAGATGATTATTAATGTTAAAGTTTTGTATGGAGAGTTGTGGAAATGACGAGGGTAGACCAGTGGGGGCGGGTCCCGGCTCAAACGTGGCCAAAATAATGTGCGCTGACATGCTTGCAATACCACCCCGGGCCGATGGGGGTGGACGCAGTAGAAGAATTTTGCAGACCTCTCAAAAACGTCTTTACAGGATGGTCCAAAAGTTGGCTCTTTTGTGTGTGTCAATGCTATATATATATATATATATATATATATATATATATATATATATATATATATATATATATATATAAAATATAAAAATATATATATTATATATAATATATAATATGATATAATATAACATAATATATATAATATAATATATACTGGTCTCGGCCTTGGTCTCAGCCCTGGTCTCAGTGCGGCTTTCAGGTTTATTTATTAAAATTGAGGAAAGTGCATCATTCTTGCGTTGTTTGAATCTAAAATGTGCTTAAAACGCACAGCAATTCTCCGTGCTGATTGATAATTCCGTCACTCACAAACAGGACTCTTCAGCGGCTCATACCTTTGTGAAATGAATGTTTGAATAATCATTTTTGGCGCGTACAGCTCGTCTGCTTTCTTGCAAACGAAAATTGCAGAGCGGACGGGTGGAGGTCCACGGGTGCTTCTCTTGCGACTTATGTGGTACTGGACCCAGATGAGACCCAAAACCGAGGCCTCAGGCCCCCGCCAGTTCCATGAGCCAGACCCCCGCAGCCACACCATATGTATAGATGTGAATAGGGCTACACGGTTTCACTGATCGCTTTACAGAACGCGGTGCCAGTCGCACTTTATCTATAGACGGTAAAGAGGAACTGGCTATTTCTATATTTTGCCGCCTCCCATATTATATCAAAAAAGTGCATTGGGATCAAGCCCCGGCAATCCAAGATGGCGCCCTATTCAAATGAATGGTTGTGCTCAGTGGCGCTTTGTGACAGCATGGGGGCTGAAAGATTAGCGGAAGTTGCCTGAAACTCGCAAAGATCTATGGGAAACTCGCCTGTATTTGGGCATCGTCTGGTCCTCCCGGTTCTGCACAGTGGATGATCTCCCATAATGCGTTGCGCCAAACACGCGTGTGTGGGTCTCACACCGGGTCTCACGCACATGCACAGAGGGGCTCGGCCGCGCTCTGACCAATCAGAGCAGTTCATCAGAGCGGGAGTTAGAGCGAGAGCCAGAGGAGCAGAGTTTGTGGCACTAAAGGGCGGCAGTAGCTCAGTTGGTAGAGCGTTGGCCTTTGAGCCAGAAGGTCGTGGGTTCAAGCCCCGCTCAAGACTTTCACCATCGACTCCCACTGACTACTGTCGTTGTGTCCTTGGCAAGACACTTAACCTCTGGGAACACCAGCCACAGTGGGGCGGCTGCGGCTGTAAAGTGCCAAACTGCAGTTGTGTCCTTAGGCAAGACACTTCACCCCCATTGCCTAGAATGAGTCTGGTGTGTGTATGAATGGTTGGTGGTGGTCAGAGGGGCCGATGGCACATACTGGTTGCCTCGCTTCTGTCAGTGTGCCCCAGGGCAGCTGTGGCTACATTAGTAGTTTATCACCACCGTGTATGGAGTGAATGAATAATGACACATGTGAAGCGTCTTTGAGTGTCCAGAAAAAGCGCTATATAAAACCGATGCATTATTATTATTATTAAAGTGTGGATTTAAACAAAACCGAAAGATTTAAGAAGAAAAAAAGTTCAGGATGACAAGGGACACTAAAATCCCCACAAAATCCAATCTTTATTAAAGCTGTAGGTTCTCTGTCAGCTGAGGTCGAGCTGTTTTAATATGCATTGAGTTCTATGGGGAAAATTTCTGGGTAGCCCACGTGAATTTAGTCTGGTTCAGTCTGCAGTACCGCGAGAATCCCCTGAGCACATGAGTTATTCAGCTACAAGCTAGTAATACCCTATCCAGTTAATATAATACATCCATGATTGGGATAGATAGCAGATAGCTGCTGCTGCCGCTGCTCTGGAAGGGAGGAGGAGGCGTGGGGACAAATTGGAGACGCTGGATTCAGCCCGGGACATCTTTTTTTTTTTGTGAGGACACTTTAGTCCTCCCAAAATATTGGTGGAGACATGTCCCTACGGTCCCTACGCAAACAAACTCCCGTGTAGCGCATTATATGTAATAGCAGTGAGTGTAATAGTGTAATAGGGATGTAATTGGTTGTGGTGTGTTCAATTGTTGGATTCATATTTATATTATAATAGTTTGATTGTATTGGCATGTAAATTTTGTAATCTCAAGAGAGCAATTTTGTTACGATTAAAAAATTTCAATGAGATCAAAATATATCAAATATTATTTTATATTTTTTCCATGAATTATATCCTCATATTTTATTTATCAATTGTGAACGCATCACGAGAAAGGTGTAGCAGGTGTTGCGCATTGTACTAATTAATCGGCAGCAGCTATTACGCAGCTATACGGCATCACAGCATTAGGACAGCAGCTACAGCACCGCGCAGGTAAGAAACACAGTTATTATAGTAAATATTTTATAATAGCACAAATGTATCTACATATACATAAACCATAAGAACACTTCACTAAACGTTTATTTCCTTCGCTCTCCCAACAGTCCTGTATTCTGTAAGAAGTAAGTGACTTTTTTCTTATGTTCAAATAAAATTTCCATTGTTATATAAGTCATTATCTTTTGTGTTATTACAGCTTGAAATTTCCAGTCAAAGTAAGTTGAATTATTGTGTTTGCCTTCAGATTTCTCACGCACGAAACCACAATTAATTGAACGACACATGACACACGGCAAGCAGGCTAACAAATGCTTACAAACAAGTTATAACAACTAATGGCAACTTAAGTTTATAAATATGTACACTATCTTACTATGTTATAGACTAAAGGGAAACAACATGCTAGAGTATTATGTACTTAATAATTTAACTATTTATTCTTCTGGTCACGAGACAGCGCAAGGTTTGAACAGCTGTTCCAATGTTCCAATCATCCCAGTGTTGCGCAGGTGTTGTACAGTGGGCTAATTACTAGTGATGGCAATATGAAGCCCCATGAAGCCTTGAGGGATCGCAGCCTATTACTCGGCCCATGAGTCGAAGGCTCGAGGTGAATCATGCTCCACTACGCCATCATGTGGACAAAAAATACATAACACTCTTAAGTGCTTACAATGAATGGTGAGATCTAATGTTAAAATGTATATTTACAATCTATGGTCTTACGTGTTGTGTTTGAAATGATGCTTCATGAACTATGAACTATTTGAGTCTTTCAGTCAATTGTGTTGATACAACAAACACATCCAAAGTAATACAGTTCTACAGAAAGTGATTAATGGAGGAAAAACTACCAAGAGGTGGATTAATTAAACACAACAAACCATTTATTCCCAATAAATAAATACATTTACTTTGCAACACAAAATGTATTATGGGTAGACCAGGATTCGATCGCTATATCTTCTGCTTCGGAGTCCGTCATATACCGACTGCGCCACACAGCTGTTGTGAAATGTATTATCCAGCGTATTATTACTAATAACTTGAAGCCTTGATATATGAGGTTTTACTAAAGTGAAACGTTTTTAATTGTATTTCATATGAAGTAGTTTCTCTATACTTAGTACAGGACTGCTCCACATCACACACACACACGCACGCACACAGAGGCAGACGGGGACAGCCAATACAGTCTATGGTACAGCCGCGGATCACAAAGCACCTGTCAAAGCAATGCACTCTCCGAACTATATGAAGCACTATATGAACCGTCACGTGGTGCGGCCGCTACGCGAGGCTTCGAACGTCACCAACACACGCCTCAAACCACGCTTAAAAAAATACGCCCCTTTTTTACTCGGTACACGCTTCGAAGACTCGGCACGCTCAGCACATCACTACTAATTACTCTGCAACCTTTGTGTCGTTACATAGAAACTGTCGTTGGAAAATGACTACTATGCATACAATACCGTTTTCGGTCGACAGTGAATATATGGAACAGCGAAGAAAGAACTTCATGAGCCAAATAGATCAGATATTATGATTAGAATAGTGTATACCGTATACTCAGGTGTTCCACATTGTTGCCAGACAAAAGCTAATGCGGGAAAACTTTTGGATAATAGAATGGATGAATACATGATGCATGAATTAATTCATTAATAAATTAGTAAATGTATACACGCACACACACACACAACACACACACACACACACTTGCTATTTTACAAATTGATTTTTGTTTTTTCAGATGAAATTATTGGAAGTATTGCAGATGGAAAATCAAGAGGATTTACCTCAACTGACCCTCAGGGTTGTCCACGCAGTGGACAGAAACGTCGTGGCACAGTGGTCGGTTAATGGGACCTCTGTCCAGGCCACACAAATAAAAAAAAACAAGATTGTGGCCCTCAGCGACGGTGAAACGGTCAAGATAGTGAATGTTTTCGCTAATAGGGCAAAAGAATTGGATGTGGGGAAAACATATATAATTGGAGACTATGGTGTGAAAGGCAGCGGCAGAGATAAATATGTGGCCTTAAAAATGGACACCTATATAATGGAGACTGTGTCAATGGAGGTTAGTTCTATCCTTCACAAACACCTGCATATACACACAGAGAATATATACATCATTCCTGTAAAGAAACACAGGAAGACTAAGAACAAATGTAAATATTTGTAGAAATGTTACATTCTAAAACATGAAACATTAGTGTAAATAACACTATATTATATTAAAGAGTGAATGGTGACGTATTATTTCTTCTCTAACTTTCAGATATCTGAGGAAATGGTTATCCTGGGAAAATCTCTGCTGGAGCCACCGTCCCAAGTGGTACCTCTTGGCCACATTGGGGAGGGGTGGCTAACGATAAGCGGTACAGTCACAGAAGTGAGAATTGTTTATTTTTTTACTCTTTAGCGTGTGCATGTGCAGGGATGCATAAAAAGTATTGAAATGTTCATTTTCACAGATATTTTCTACAAGGATGGTGACTGTGAGAGGAAAATCAGTGCCATTAAAGTGGTTCTCACCCCCGCTCCTCGGAGCTTACGTCACTCACATTTCCTGTTCAAATCTTCCTCTAAATGGGCGTAGCCTGGAGGACTGAAGGGGGCGTGAACGAGACTGGGCCGTTTACATTGCTCTGGGCGGGGGGCTGCTGACGTCAGGTCCAACTTGCAGACGTCAGGTCCAACTTCTGTGCCAGTGTTGGCGCCAGATTCAAAATTCAAATGTAGTAATACAGGTCGCCAGCAGATGGCGCCTCACAGACGGTTTTAGGCAGAAAGTTTAACTTTCAACTAATTTGCACCAAAGTGAAAAAACTATGACCAGGATATGTAGACAACACTATTGGACACTCATTTAAATCGTTTATCAGCAAACAAAAGTGGATTTGAGGGTGAGTTGTCCTTTAAAGACCTTATGACGGGTTTTTAAAAAAAAAATAGTGGATATCAAAATTGCATGACAATGTCAATTTGAAAGAGATTCCGGCAAAAAAAATCCTATATTTTATAAAAAGAACGTGTTTTTCATGAATTTAAGTTGTCTATGCTCTAACCTGTGTGTGACGTCATAGCGGGTTACGCCCATGCATTGAAAACCATGGATCTATGCCACAGGACTGCCTTTTCTCTCTTCTCTCCACTGATGCCCAACACAATACTGCACTCTACAGGCGACAATTGCTCACTACACATAAATTGCCGTTTTGAGTGTGAAAAAGTGTCCGAGGTGGGATTTGAACCCAAGTATCTGGATTGGCAGTCTATCGACACAACCACTGGACTATCTCAGGCGA